AAGCATGCAGCCATATGTTGCATCACTGCCCCCGGGGGTGGGGGGGGGTGCATGGAGTAGCCCTGGTCTTTGATGTCTGCATTTATTAGCGCTTATTACTGGTCACAGCTGAGCGGTTATACCGTGCATGTTAGGTACTCACTCGTTCAAGTATTAATGTACACGAGTTGCATAATCAATGGCATATGAGTTACTCTTGGTCTAGAGTAGGTGTATAGGTGGCCTTGGTATATAAGTTGTGAGTTTTGAAAAACTAAACTGTAAAATGTATGGGCCTGGTCCGGACTCAAATGTGTATCCTAATGTGAGAATGTTACCCAAAAGTGTAGCTGCTTCATTAGCAGCTATAGCTCGGGCCTTAGAGCTACAGCATAGAATAAACAAAATACAGGTAAGTAACGGCTACACAGCACAGCTAAATGGGCTGCAACCTCTGCATTAGCTACAACATTATACTGCTACAGTAAATTCGCCTTCACAGCTACGATAAGCAATGATACACAGCTGCATCAGATACAGCTACACGGCTGCTGCAACAACAACTGCTGCACAGCTACATTTTGTAAAGCCCCACGACTTCTATACCCACCTCAGTATCCCAACATCAATACTAGACTACCGTAATTACACATCAAAACATGTTCTTTATACAAGGATATGACAATGGCAAGTATACACCAGGATCGATACCATCTCCCATTGTTTCGTCCATCTGTTACAAACTTTACATTACCATAACAATAGCGGTGACAAACGGTGTAGTAGTTTTTTCTTACAATCGCCCAGGTAAAATTACAATTGGGTTAATTCATTTTTAATAGCAATTATAATATTTTCTATTAACTTTTTAAAAAGAAAAACAAAACGTTCTACAATGTGGCGCATCTTGTACTTCCCCCTTTCTGTCTAAGTACCCGCTACATACTGGTTGGTTTTGCTATCAGATGTTATGGACTACTGCATATGAATAGGTTATGAAACTCCGATCTCTGCATATACGATGTGAGAACATAGACCCCCACCCCTACGATATAAGAACACTAACCCCACCCCTATGATATAAGAACTCTAGCCCCACTCCTTTGACTTAAGACCACTAACCCCACACCTACGAAGAAAGATAATTAATTCCACCCCTGTGATATAAGAGCTCTAGCCCCACCCCTACGATACAAGAAAACTAACGCCACCCCTTTGGCATAAGACCACTAACCCCACACCTACGATAAAAGACTATTAACTCCATCCCTATGATATAAGAACTCCGAAACTAACCCATTGACAACATACTTCTGTCCACATATTATGACACACAAACTACGACTGCGACCCTTACAGTAGAACAATGACACCACCTAACACAAGAGTTTTGACCCCATCCACAGGACACAATACCTCTGCCCCTAAAGCTTGCATGTCGCTCCAAGCTTTCCACAGAAAAAAAAAATTCCCAGCGTTTTTTTTCTCTTTCTCGGGCAATCTGCGGGTGAGTCAAAAAGCAACATGCCTAATGTGCCGGCCCTTAGACACGCAAGCCATTAGGCTGATTAAAGTACCGACGGTCTTCACGTTTAGAGGCTAAACGACCTCGCTTTAACAGAAAAATCATCACAATGAAAGTGAATTACAAAATTAGGAAATGATGACTAAAATTTCCCCTAAATCAAATACTAAAAATGTAATTATACACGGGCAACTGTCTGTATACGAAATATGAGAGCTGATGCGAAAATTTCAAATACCAGGAAGAAAGATGAAATCGATAATTTTCATCCAAAATGTTACAACATAACAGTTGTACACGATGTCACAGTAAAGTAACCTTACTTACGTAAACACGCCAATAGTATCAAGGTAGGTAATCGTGAGGTAACATTCCATTTACGTAAATACGGTTATTGTATTATGGTAAGCGAGAGGTAACCTTACTTGTACGTAAACACGCGTAAGGTGTAATGGTAATCGCGAGGTAAACTACCATGTTCGTAAAAACGACTGAGATAAGAATAGATTCTTTTCAATCGTTTCAAACGCGTCATTCAGCAGATGTTAATATTCACATTTCTTCACACTGATGGAATAAACCTGGTTGCTTCTCAATTTTTAAGATTTACATGGCCTTAACCACGTGTAAGGATTGAGTCTACTTTTACTACGGTTCTGTTGGGCGGTACCAACCAAAGAACCTAACCATAACCTAACCCTTACTTACCATGATACTAACTGCCACGAAAATTAACAGATGTTTTAAAATTATCACCAAACTATAGATGTAACCCTCAACTCCAAAAGAAATCGATCGAACAAACTGACTTGACAATACATTATGAATCTCTTTCCATACTAACATATACACTGTAACTGATAAAATTTGTTTTTAGAACATTAATTTATCTGTATTCCTATAAATTAAATCTCAAAACCAAACAATAAAAAAAAAATTTAAAGCTATAAATAGAAATGCTGTTCATTTAACTTTTAAACTTTTAAAGATTGGGAAAACAAAATGCATGCTTTACTGGGATTTGAACCCTGAACGAGCCAGTAAATCTCTCGACCAATTTAGTTCTCACGACATTTGAGACGTGAGGTGAAATCCAATCCCAAAAAAATCAATGGAAGCTATCAAGAGGATACAATTTACACAGCCAATGAAAGGTCTTACCGAGGCGTGCACTAGTTCTGATTGGCACATTCACATATAGACAGTTCATTAGCTGAATAAGTTGGATGGGGGAGGGGGGGGGGGGTAATCACACGCCGTTAGAATATATCAATCAGTTGTAAAAATGCGACGCGGGTAAGTAATTTCAAGTAGAAAAATCGCGAAGATTATTCAACAAGTTTTATTCATTCTTTTTTTTTTTAAAGAAAAAAAGTTTTCAATATTTTTTAAATACTATACCCATTAAATAGTGATGAAACGGGAAATTATTTTATATAGAAAAAGCTAGATTCGTTTTATGGAATTCCGTTAACACAAGATCCAGTTATAGAAGACTTCAACCACATATATGAATACACTGCCTTAAAGTCTAGAACATCACAGGTTAAGTTTTCGGTTCAAACTGAGCCAGCATCTCACGCACGCACACACATACACAGGTCGATACGGCAGACAACAACATGTTACGTCACTTCCGACCGAGCCGGTGACAGGGCACACATGGGATCAATGAAAGATATTACGTCCAGATAAGCGGGCGGTGTTTGTATGCAAGATGGGCTGATCTGACGCTCAAGGGGGTCCGGGTTTCTACTTGAAGGAGGGTGAAATAGGCTCAAGTGGGGGTGAACTAGCGGTCAGTGGTCAGATAGCAGTGGTCAGTTAGTATGATAGGGGTCTTTAGTATCAGAAAATATTCATTTCAGAAAATAGGCCACTGTACTAGTGTCGATTTTAAGAGGAAGGGACGTAATCCTTTCAGGCTTTTAATAATAATGATTCTCTCCCCTACTCTGACGGGGATATTTTTTTTTTTTTAAAATTGTGTTTGACATAACAAAACTCCATTTTAAATAAAGATACATGTCTTTACTTTGCTAAAATGTGTATGGGTTTGATATTTTATGAGTATAATATGAGTGAGAATTATTTGCTTTTCGTTTAATAATAATTACATAGTGTCCCAATTGTATAATGGATTTTACTAAACATAAATAGGGAGCCTGGTGTTATTAAGTAAAAATGGCATCACAACAAGAAACTGGGAGTTTAACAGTAAATGTCACATAGAAGCATCGATATTGTTATGTACTTCGGATACAGGTATAGAGATTCACGGTATAAGTTTAATGTATTGGATCATCATGTAACCTCCACATAATTCACCATTAAACTCCACATAATTCCCCATTAAACTCCACATAATTCCCCATTTAACTCCACATAATTCCCCATTTAACTCCACATAATTCCCCATTTAACTCCACATAATTCACCATTAAACTCCACATAATTCACCATTTAACTCCACATAATTCACTATTTAACTCCACATAATTCCCCATTTAACTCCACATAATTCACTATTTAACTCCACATAATTCTCCATTTAACTCCACATAATTCCCCATTTAACTCCACATAATTCACCATTAAACTCCACATAATTCCCCATTTAACTCCACATAATTCCCCATTTAACTCCACATAATTCACCATTTAACTCCACATAATTCACCATTTAACTCCACTTAATTCACTATTTAACTCCACATAATTCCCCATTTAACTCCACATAATTCCCCATTTAACTCCATATAATTCCCCATTTAACTCCACATAATTCACAATTTAACTCCACATAATTCACCATTAAACTCCACATAATTCACCATTTAACTCCACATAATTCACCATTTAACTCCACATAATTCACCATTTAACTCCACATAATTCACCATTTAACTCCACATAATCCACCATTAAACTCCACATAATTCACCATTAAACTCCACATAATTCACCATTTAACTCCACATAATCCACCATTAAACTCCACATAATTCACCATTAAACTCCACATAATTCACCATTTAACTCCACATAATTCACCATTTAACTCCACATAATTCACCATTTAACTCCACATAATTCACCATTTAACTCCACATAATTCACCATTTAACTCCACATAAACCACCATTTAACTCCACATAATTCACCATTTAACTCCACATAAACCACCATTTAACTCCACATAATTCACCATTTAACTCCACATAATTCACCATTTAACTCCACATAATTCACCATTTAACTCCACATAATTCACCATTTAACTCCACATAATTCACCATTTAACGCCATATAAATAAATTCACAATGTATCTACGAAGGTACATCAGATGAAGCCATTATTCCTACCAGGTGTTTGTAAGTAAGATGGCGTCAATTGTTGTTGTGAATGTGTAAGTCTTGTATGACAGTGTATATCATCCAGATCTGACCATAGCTGCTCACCCATAAAGGTCAGTCTAAGTAACCATATTCTTACCTTTTTGACCATGTTGATCCGCCTCAGCAGAGCTTCTTTACACTCCACTCGATATTCCTCGTCCAAAGTCTGACATTTGTGCTCGATACGGCTGGCAAAGTCAGAGTAAATTGTTTTGTTAGTTGTCATTGGGTTTTCAAATTTTCAACAAAAATTTTAAATACAAGGGAAGTAATGCAATAATTGTATCGACACATTTAATAGAAGTTGTCTCCCTTTTCTATACATCTTGTTCACTTAAAAAAGTCCGATTTTTTAATCATTTTAACATTGCTTTGTTTATTTATTAACTTATTATTGAAACGTGTAATTGAAAACGTTACACTAAGAACGAGATATGTCGAGTACCGTTTTATTTAAACTTTTCCGTAACGGAAAAACATAAATCCTTTCAGACCGGAAAACGTGTTAAGTAAGTGTGACCGGTACTACGCCCCGTTACGTTTACTGTCCTCCAACTCAAGCCGGGTACACATTAGAAATGAGTGAACTCAGAGACGTTTTCCGGATTCTTGCTAAGGACGCTCACTCCAGTATTTTTATTTTTTTGCAATCGCGCGTCTTAATCAAGTAATCAAGCCTAGCCCTCAAGACTGATGTGCATCCCCCCCCCCCCGACCAGCCCCACACAGACTTACTTCTCATCTATAACTATGACAACCTCAGATAACTTAATAAGATCTTCTAATAAAGCACTTTATTCACCAGAAACTAAATAGCTTTTAGTAGAGAAATTTGATTTTTTTTTTTTGCTTAAAAAACTGACTATAATTTTTAAAAAAAAAAGCAAAATTAAGCGAACACCTACCTGATATTCTCTTTCAGCAAATCAATCTCTACCTGTTATGAAAAGAAAATAGTGTCTTATAGCAATACTATCGGTTAATGAATATTTAACTTTTGCTTTAAAAAACTGCAATTAATTTATTTCCATGGAACATAATTTGACAAATACAAAAAATATATTTTATGTTATTATTATATTAACTGAATATAAACATTGTAATAAATCTACCTTCGATGGGTTTGTGTGAGAGAGGCATAACTCTAGGTTGTGTTTTAGCAGCATTAGTCGTCGCTTCTCTCCCTCTAGTAGACGCACGGTTACCTAAAAAAAATGGAATTTAAAAATGATCAATTTTAATTGTTTCGTTTCTAGAACTTATTTTAAAATCATGAGAGTATTATAAAAGATTTTCAATGGAGTGAGTGGTAAGCCTATACGTGATACATGTTAAAGTTTGATGAAGGAAGATAGATGTTTGGCAGGGAGGGTATTATTAAAGTATTTTAAAAATCTTTTTTTTTTTTGCTAATGCAATCGTAATTAAAAATTACAATCGTAGTTATTGTGTTCATGTGAAGACAGGGGTTCGGGGTGGTTTATGGACCGGCAGTCCAATGCAAGCCAGAAATATTATGGTACGGTATGGCTCATATTTAGAAGCTTTACTAGTAAAATGTAGACAGATATCAACGTGTGAGAGATGGAGAAAGAGAAGAGAAAGATCTACACACTGTTCATTAAAAATAAATTATAAAAATTCACACACAGAAAATATATATATATCAAAGTATCAACACAAGCAGGGCAAGGTCGTTGGCTGGGGACAGATACCCATCTATGAGATCGTTAGCTGGGGACATCAACCCATTTAGGAGAGGCTCGTTATCTGGGGGCAGCAACCCATTTAGGAGAGGCTCGTTATCTGGGGACAGCAACCCATTTAGGAGAGGCTCGTTATCTGGGGGCAGCAACCCATTTAGGAGAGGCTCGTTATCTGGGGGCAGCAACCCATTTAGGAGAGGCTCGTTATCTGGAGACAGCAACCCATTTAGGAGAGAAAACCCAAAACCAAACTACTGCGTTGTAGTTTGTTCTTGGGTGGGCAATTGCTATGGGAGTTTATCCAGAAAGAAAAGCAGACTAAAGTTTTAATCAATTGGCCATATGGCGCATAATGTTTACGTGCAATACTTAATTATGTTGGAAATTCCCCTAAATATTACAATAAAGAACAAAAAAGGAGATGAAATTATTAAACAGTACGACATTTCGACATTTTAATAAAAAGGAAAAACGGATATAAATATGTTTTAATAATTAATTTAGCTGTGGTGAGAATATGTCAATCATATTAGCAGCCAAACGCGAATCTTGAAATCAAACCCGATTTTTGTTTGAACAAATGTTTGCATAATTAAGATAACTCCGTTTTTGCGTCACACACGCGGGATAACTCTACCAAACTCTCCTAATTTTCAATCAACAATCGGCCTATTGTCATCCAAGTCCAGCTCAAACAGACCCTCCGGAAACAAATTCCCGATCTCCGGAAACAAATTCCTGATCTCCGGAAAATTCAGACAAAAATCCTCCGCGACATGTTGGCGTTGGGCCGCTAAGCCCTTGAACCATCCCTGGTCATGCTGGTCGAGGCTTTGGGCTTCAAAAGTTCATTGTCACTACGTCATGCTGCTGGTAGCTTTCAACCAAGTGGAGACAGAGGGAGGGGGTGAGGGAGGGGGGGTGTTGTGTGGTTGATGCAACAACATGGCGGTGTAGCATCCCGAGGAGACAAAAAGTTGCTTGCCCGAGTTCAACACGAGTCCCGGAAGTAAGTTTTTAACCAATCAGGACCGTGATCTCGTTTGTAAACACTGGGGAGTAAAGGGAAGTGGTGGGGCGGGTTTGGAGGAGTGAGGGGCGATAATTTTCATGTTTGTTATCTAGAAACAAGTTCCGCAACCCATGGCACAATTCTTTTTTTCAACGGATGATGTAATGATATAGCAAACTCATGCCAACGTTTAACATTAAATGCTAAAGGTCAAAGATCAACATTTGCATTCACGATTAAACCTAATTTTATTTTTCCTACTTTAACAGCCACAAATTATCTAACCTTTTTTAGTTACTTATTTATTTTTCCAATTGAGACCAGCCTTTTGAAATTCTAGTGCCCATCCAACCTCAAAAAAAGTATATTTGTATAGTGCCTTTATTTTTTTTCATAGTTACTAACCTAAAAAAAAAGCACACAATGATAGGCATTAAAAAATACCATCATCATGACAACCAGTAACAACCACAGAATCGATTATGCGCACTTTGCTATGATAGACATTCCCATAAACAGATATCGATTCCGAGCTTAACATGTTAATGACGATAAATTGACGTGTTACAAAAAAAGAAGGGTTGAACTTCCTTTGCAGTCATCTACGTGACAATTCTACCGTGTTTGCAGATAACAGCTTTGGTATCATGTTACTTCTGGGAGGAAACTGGTAAAAAAAGTAAAGAATCCTTTCGAACATTGTGGTCCATGGTGCAAGTGAATAAGAGTTACGCTGTTACGTCCCGGCATATAAAGCAAATATGCCTAGCCGTCTTTACTTTCTCTTAATTCTGATCAGATAACTACTTTGATATTGCCTTAGTTTTGTTACATACATTAAACTGGGAAAATCAAGCTGCTGTTGAAGATGAAGTTTTAAGACCAGATTTGAATCATGGTTAATGTTAGGTTTAGATTTTTTTGTTAATGTTAGACAGTAGGATTAGGTTAGTTCTCTTGAGATCAGCAGAATTAGCTTTAATACCCAATCATTATACAAAAAACAAGAAATAGCATTCCACAATATTTGATCTGAGCACGAATCGTACTAAGTCATCCTTGATCCTAAAAACTGTGTATGTTTTAATATCCCCATCGGCTGCTCCCATAACCCGCCACCACTGTGTATGTACATACAAAAGATAACGCGGAACTTCTCTCACCCTTTACTCTATCGTTCGTTAAAATCAATAGAAGAAAACACATTTTACATTGACACCAAGCTTAACCATTGACACCAGACGGCTTAACACCATGACGCTCTCTCCTATAATCCCAACATAAGGCTGTATCAGCACTCCCCACCCCAGGCTCCCTCCCTGCTCAGCACCCCCTCCCCCTCAAACACACACCCCAGGCCCCCTCCCTGCTCAGCACCCCTCCCCCTCAAACACACACCCCAGGCTCCCTCCCTGCAGACAATTCCCAGAGTTCCTGTTGACTCGCCACTGAATCGCCAATGACGTCAAGCGAACGAAAATATTGAACTTTGATCCAGTGTTTACCGTCAGCTGCCCGCAGGTGAAATTTTTCGTAGACGGTCGGCGGGAGGGGAGGGAGGGGAGGGAGGTCAATATCATCTTTACACACTAATATGTGGTCCAGTCCTACGCGATTAGCACTAATTAATGAGGCCGTGGATTCGTTTTTTTTTTAAATCCTAATTCAAATTTTACAATTTCGAAAGCTTGCTAATTCGACAGTTTTTTTTTTCTGAGCAGGAGACATTCTACATTACATTGACAGTCTACATAATCTCTTCATAGGCATTCTACTTTGCATAAACACTATGTTGCATATACACTACGCATAGCATAGACACTCCAAATTACATAAACACTTCGCATAACATAGACACTCCAAATTACATAGACACTTCACGCCATTTCTAAAAATGAAGTAGTTTTTTCCTTTTCTAAAAAAATAAACAAGACTAGAAAAACACATTTGAGAAAATAACTATTGCTTAATTAATCGTAATTCGATTTTTTAAAACAGTTTGTGATTTCGACATTTGCAAATAATTTAACAATGCATCACACCTCGACAATTACAAGATTTTCAGATGTAAGAAAAAAAATCAATAATTAGTAAAGACTATTTAGAATTTAGATCCTTCCCCAATCCTTCCTTTCCTTAAGGTAATGCTAACAACCTGCCCACAACTAAATGACTTCAACTTACAAAAAAGTTGCGCTGTAGTACTAATTTTGCTATTCTTTAAATGTAAAAATCATACGATCTTGAAACAAAAAGTCTAAAACAAGCGTGCAGAGAACTTGATACTAATAGCCGTTGTAAAAAAAATTTGCAACTAATTAGAAAGACTGGACGAGACTGTAGGTCAAGGACACTGATGTAACTAATATGTGACATCGTGATAAGGCCGGACGTGTACATTATACATTGTATGCAGCAGACTAGAGTTAAGTAATAACTGGACCTGTGCCAAGCTGGACGTTGAAAGATGGTGAAACAGTAACAACGCTTAGCGAATATTTTCAACGCGCCTGAATAAATTTCTATCACATTTTATTACAGCTAGCTAAATTTTTTTTTTTTTTTTTTTTTTTACAAAGAAAGTAAAGTTCCCTTTTCAGACTTCATGTTCAAAAGAGCATATGAAGTAGAGTTCACTAAGCTTTTGAAAGTATGGTGCTTTACTCTAGATTTTATTGTGTAGATTGAACAAAATATCGCATCTTCTGTTTCAAAAGCTGCGTGAGATATCCCATCTTGCTCGAACATCTCACCAATGCCACTGACCCCCGGAGTTCCCTGTTTGTCGTCTGTGGGTCAGTGCGCCCCTGCAGACCTATGACGTGCGGAGCCGGGCATTTCACCGGCCGGACAAGATGGCTGACCTCGACGTGAAGTTTAATTACCGCAGGTGGACACCGGCGCGAGATCGACGGGATCGCCACGGGTTTGACGTCATCCATGTCAAACAAGTTTGTGAGCAAATTTGTTTTGTCACGTGCCACACAGCTGATGATGCTCATGTTGTGTAATGTTAATGTTAGAGCTTTTTGATATGTAATGTTGATGTTAGGGACTTTATCTGAGCTGGCTGAAATTATTTATCCGAAAGTGTAATACAGAAACTAGTTGTAATAAATATAGTTAAAATATTTGCATTATAATCGAGTTTACAGAAATAAAGCTATATGGTCGAGTGCATGGTATTGCAAAATAATAAAAAAGTAAAAGTAAAGTTCCTTTTTTGAACCTGACGGTCCAATGACAAGTGAAGTAGAGTTCACCTGTTTCTGTGACCTCGGTATTTGAAGGGATAGTATGGTCAGCGCTATGCACAGCCGCCTTTACTTTCCCAAACGTAAGTTATGTATCCAACAGAGCTGGGTGGACTCACGGACTTATAATAAAAACTAGAGCTTAAATCATAAAATACAATAAAGTAACTAAGATATATTGTCGAAGAAGTTGAGTCGCATTGCCCACTGTACCTGTAATCGTCATTAATCTG